CAGCCCTTCAAGAAATTCTCAAGGGAGTCCTGCATCTGGAATCTGAATAGTGATGACCACTGTCACAAATACACAAGAAAGAGCAAAACCCACTGTTAAATCAGCCAGTGAGAAAGAGAAAGAAGCTAAATCATGCCACCTTAAATTTCCAACTAACGTTGAAGAAGAGAAATAAATGGAGAAGTGATGATCCAAAGATATTTAAATCATCTAAACAAAAAGCAATTAAATGAAAGGAATGAAACAACACATATTGGATTCAAAAGCTAGACCTAAGTATATGGTGTCTTCAAGAAACCTACCCCACCTGTAGAGACACATGCAGACTAAAAGTGAAGGGATGGAAAAAGATATACTATGCAAATCGAAACCCCATACAAGCAGTAGTAGCTATTCTTATATCAGACAAAATAGATTTTAAACCAAAAAACATAAAAAGGGACAAAGAAGACCACTATATAATGATAAAAGGATCTATCCAGCTAGAAGACACAATAATCATAAATATAAATGCACCAAACACAAGAGCACCCAGATATATAAAGCAAACACTATTAGAGCTAAAGAAAGAAATAGGCCCAAATACGTTAATAGTGGATGATCTGAACACCTGTCTCTCAGTAAGGGAAAGGTTTTCCAGGGAACAAATTGATGAAGAGACACAGAGTTTAATCTGCACCTTAGACCAACTGGATCTGGCAGATATGTACAGAACATTTCACCCAACAACTAAAGAATATACTTTTTTCTCATCAGCACATGGAACATTCTCCGGGATAGATCACATACTGGGTCACAAATCTAGCCTCAGCAAATTTAAAATAATTGAAACCATTCCAAGTATCTTTTCAGACCACAAGAGACTAAAACTGGAAATGCCCACTCTCAGCACTTCTATTTAACACAGCAGTGGAGGTACTAGCCAGAGCAATCAGGCAACAGAAAGAAGTGAAGGGAATCCAGACTGGAAAAGATGAAGTCAAACTGTCTCTATTTGCAGATGACATGATACTATATATAGAAAAACCTAAAGACTATCAAAGAACTCCTAGAGCTCTTTAAAAACTTCAGTAACATTGCAGGATACAAAATAAATGCCCCAAATCAGTTGCATTTATATATTTGTATAATGAACTAACAGAAAAAGAAATAAAGGAAGCCCATTTACAATTTTCATGAAAAAAATAAAATACCCAGGGATCAATTTAACCAAGGAGGTGAAAGATCTCTACAATGAGAACTACAAACCACTTCAGGAAGATATTAAAGAAGACACAAAAAGATGGAAAGATATTCCATGCTCTTGGATTGAAAGAATTAACATTGTGAAAATGTCTACACTACCCAAAGCACTGTACAGATTCAATGCAATCTCCATCAATATACCAAGGACATTCTTCACAGAAATGGAAAATACAATCTTACCTTTCATGTGGAACAACAAAAGACCCCAAACAGCCAAAGCAATCCTGAGAAAAAAACAAAACAAAAACCCAGAAGCATAACACTACCTGACTTCAAATTATACTACAAAGCTATTGTAACCAAAAGAGGATGGTACTCACATAAGAATAGACACTGTGACTGGTGGAGCAGAATACAGAACCCAGAAATCACTCCTCATGCTTACAGCCATCTGATATTAGATAAAGGCAACAAGAATCTACATTGGGGAAAAGACTGCCTCTTCAACAAGTGGTGCTGGGAAAACTGGATATCCATATGCAGAAGAATGAAACTATATATGGCCCTCTCACCATATACTAAAATCAACTCAAAATGGATGAAAGACTTAAGTATAAGACCCCAAACTGTAAAACTACTAAGGGAAAATATAGACGAAACACTTCAGCAATTATTTCTGGACACAGGCTTTATGAACATGAGCCTGAAAGCACAAACAACAAAAGAAAAAAAATAAACAAATAGGGCTATATCAAACTCAAAAGCTTCTGCACAGCAAAGGAAACAATCAACAGAGTGAAAGGACAACCTACAGAGTGGGAGAAAATTTTTGCTAACTATGCATCTGAGAATGACGTAAGGGAGGTCAGACATAATTGTGGAGGAGACGTGTGGTATAATCACAATTTCGTG